TTGTTTAACCCCCAAAGGGGTGGCGATTCACAGGTTGAGAACCACTGCATTAAATTATGTTATCATTAGTGAGTTTTCGGTCACTTTACCCTGGAACCCACAATGCAGAGAAATAAAGGCATACGCACACAAAAACTAGCAGCGGCTGGTCGAGTGGTTAGAACACACGTCGGGCTCTTATGCGGTAAAACTCGGGGTCGACTCCCAGTAAGGTGATGGAGTTTTTCTGTCATGGGGTAAAATTAAACATTCTTACCTGCACAGTTCGTGGCGACAGCACTAGCTCTGTCCACACCGCCCTAAAAAGTGATACATAGGACAATAGTGACAGTTTGACGCACACAGTCGCGGGGGGCCGCCGCGTTGTAGCGCCTAGAGGCTCGCATGCAGATTCGAAGGTTGTCGGTTCAGGTCCTCACAGAGTCGGACTTTTTTGTTTTCAAAAAGACCTTGGCTCCCAGGTCGACCAAGCATTAAATGGGCACCAGATATGTTCCGGGAAGGTAAAGTCGGGCGGCATAATGTTGACCACATCACCCACTAAGTGTCAGTTGGTCTATAAAATATAGGCCTAGTTCCTATATGCCCAATACGCATCAACAAGTGAGAAATGGTCCTGTTGAAACACACAAAGACACACGGGGAAGGGAGCTTAAGAGTGAAGTTAAAATGCTGGGGAGGTTATAAAGTGAGTTGCATGTTAAAGGTAGTGATATGATAACATAGCTTGAGTTGGTTGAGGGCAGGAGCATTGACTGGGAGATACAAGTCAGGAAAAAAATTAGGTCTTCATTCAAACATTTGCAATCATTGCAATAAAAATGGCGTTTCCCCAAACGAAACCACGCGAAAATAGGGGAAACAACATTTAAAACCCACGCAAGAGCAGCAGTTAATTATGATGGTGAGGAAGTTGTGAGGGGAGGGGTGGAGAGAGAAGTAGAGAGAGAGAGGGAGAGAGAGAGAGAGAGAGAGAGAGAGTGACCGAGAGAGAAGATGCTGGACGGTTTGAACATTATGGAATGAAAGATCATGTGTCAAAATTATTAGTGTACACGAGAAAGAAAATCGCCGATACAAAAGACTACCAATTCTACACAACATGGACAATAAGAACAAGAAGTATCAGAGGGGCAAACACCCCAAATAATGGAAGTAAAGGACCCTTTTACACGCCCCTTGCCTATTGGGTATAACGGCTAGACCTGTATTTTATAGACAAAACAGAACTACGCGGGGTGTTGTGGTCATCATCACATCGGCCGCCTTTACTTACCAGGACTGTACCTGGTACCCACAAAATGCTGGATCGACCTGGGATCCACGATCATTTTTGAAAAAAGTCCTACCCCCGTCAGGACCCTAAACCCATGACCTTCAATTCGCAGGCGATCGTCTAGCCGCTAGACCACGATGGCTCCCGAACACCCCATACGCTTCACTAAAAACATATTAAATCTTTATTTTCTGGTCTAAACTCTACACTCGGAGGGAAGGCAAGACGGGCGATAACGAAACAGGCAATGATGCCATCTGCTCCGGTACTCTCCGATGGCTGCTGAAGATGTGGGAGGAGCCATTATGGGAATGTCCACAGCGCTATGATGTCAACTCTAATTTTTATCAGCTTCTTACAGCAGCAAAATAAAATACATGACCACACACACACAAAATATGTTACATTATGGGTTGTTCTAAGTTTATGCAGTAGACCTTTCACGTGTCCTCATACTCCCAACCGACAAACACTGACTATTTTTTCTATGAACAAAAATGTTGAAAGATTAATAAAAAAAAAAAAAAATAGACAGACAGATGAAATACGAATGGACCAACTCAGCCTGTACTGTAGGTTACTTTTTAACCATTTTCCGATGCCTTAGTATAACTCTTCTTCTTCTTCTTCTTCTTCTTCTTCTTCTTCTTCTTTTTCTTCCACTTCTTCTTCTTCCTCTTGTTCTTGTTCTTCTTTTTCTTCTTCTTCTTCACCGGCTGTAAGCTCCGGCGAAAACCCCGGTTGTTCGTCAATTTGGATTTTGGCTTTGTTCCAGGGCCTGAGTTTTACGTGTACATCCGTTTTACTGGCTTGTGTGTTAGCAGTTGGTTGTTTCTTGTAGCTCTGGCAGATGCACTCCGACCTCGAAGTAAGCACCTGATTAGTCGACTCCTACGATATGCTTGTTAAGAAGGCAATGGGTCTATTCTTGTTTTCCCTATAAGTGGGTCCCGGAACCCACAGGTGGATACTTCTTCTACATGGCTAAACGACTGAACCGGGTTTTCGGAATTTGTAACTGTTTGATTTGGTGCTTTATTTTTAGACAACCCCTTTCTAGACAGCTTGGAGTTTTCGTAGGGAACTCCTAGGGATTTTCCTAAGCAGTGCCATATTATGGTTGGGGGAGGGGGGAATGGCAGGGGGGCCTCTCGGATAGGGCTAGCGTTAAATGAATAGTGACTACTACTAACCCTAACCATAGCTCCCTATATTATTGACAGTTCTGGGGATTTCTCTACCAAACCTCGAAGCCGACGAGATAGGGTCGTTTAAAATTAAAGTACCCTTGATTTTCATTTCTTGAAATGTTAACCCTACAGACTGTAATCTTGGAGCAAAAATACAACACTCAGAAACCGTACACCAACCTCTTGCACACAACCGCTAATGGGCAGACAGGCACTTAAGTGTTCAGAAAACGCACTTATTGTATAAAGTGCACGCAATGCACTTCTAGCAGCGCTAGTCCGGTCGCACTTCCCCACAAGCTCATTGGCTGGCCTTGATAAACTTGACGTCTCTATGACTACCAGCCTCTTTCCTGGAGACGTTCCAGGAAATCTGCTTGTTTCAGGGAATCAGGAAGTTATGCCTGTTACAACTAACGTTATTATTAGTTTTAATATTACTGATTACCTAAAAGCATATGAATATCATGTGGCGCTTTGGCATCGTTTAGATGTTTCTGGAATTTTAATCTTTGCGTTTTCCGCTTGCTTACTTATGTCCTTCTTTAAATTAGAAATTTTTTTCTTAAGCGTGTCATTGACACAAAGAAAACATTATGGTGGAAAGGAGGGGGGGAGTAGGGAGAGGGGGCGCACGCCTGCAACTCTGCCCCTTGAAATCTTCTAGGCAACAGACCTCTGAGGGTTTAAGTCTTGTTTAAGTGTTCAGTTATTATTATTATTATTATTATTATTATTATTATTATCATTATGGGCTGAATTGCATATAAGAATAATAATTTGAAATAAAATGTTAAATGCATTTTAAAAAATACTCAACAAGAGAATGTTTTTACGTGGTTAGGGGGAAACCTCTTAGCTCCCCTGTGCAATTTCTTGGGGTTTGGAGCCCACAACCTAAATATAATTAGTCCCCTTTAAAAAATATTTAGAGCTGGGCTCCAGATGCTTAAACTCCCAGATGAATTTTCTCTAGCGAGGAAGGTAAATTAGTTCCCTTACACTGTGATTACAATCGTCCCCCCCCCCCCCCTTTTCCCCCAATCCCTTTTTGTCTGTTTGTCTTGTTTAGGATGTGATATGCGCATGGTGGTTACTAGGTAATCGACACTAGAAGTGAAACACAGGCGCCTGGCAGAACACCAGAAGCGGATTCCCGGTGGCTATCCGTTCAAATTCCCCAACAGTGGCAGATTTGTTTCCCAGTTGAACGGGGTCACAGTGTAGACCTTGCCTAAACACGCAATTAAGGAAATGTTTTGGGAAGTAAAGAAGAAAATTTGTTTTTAAACCACCTGAATTCATTATTATCAACAGTGAATACCAATTTGTCTTTTTTAACATTTGACTGGAATCTCTACATACTAAAATAACTACACGTGACATCGCTATCTCCGCCAGGTCACTAACAACACTAGACGAAACAGTGTTACGAATACCAGCATTGGAGAGAAAACTGGAGGAAAAAAAATTACATTTCTGGACTATATTGACAGACAAAGAATAAAGTGGTTCGGCCATCCAGTGAGAATGCAGCCAGACCAAACGGCATATGAGACTTTCTACAGCAGCATATCTGGAAAAAAGGCGAGAGGAAGACCAAGAAAAACATGGATAAATAGTGTAGCTGAAAACTGCAAAAAGATGAACAAATCCATCATCCAGGCCACCCGAGAAGAGCAAGACAAATATAGAAAACCGCGACACTGGGCTACAACCTAGTATCAGTGAAACGACAAAAGATGAAGAAGAAGCATCACATCACATCCGCTTCATTGGTTCCTTTGTTATGTGATCGATTGGTTCGTCCCCTTCATGCTGTTACCTGTAGGGTTAGCGCCCGGAAATAATGACAACAACAAAATATTGATCGTGATGGCAGACCAACAGGGTAGATCCCAGATACCCGGCTTACCCTGGAAACGGCATTTTGATTAGGGCACCCGTAACGGCTGCGAGTCCTATATGGGTACGGACATTTTCTTTTCTTTAGCTTTTCTTTTCTATAGCCCAGCAAACTTCGAACCTCAACAAGCTCATACACTAAACCTGTTATCCTTTTAAAACAAGAACGAAGACGAAGTATGAAAAGTTTAAATATCCTTTACAGGGCGTTGCTGAACCAAAACCAGGTTTATTATTTAGCGGTTGTTGTTTGTCTAGGCAAATTTATGTTCGGTAGTTAGCCATTGCTGTCTAAATGGTCGATGCTCGATATTACTTTCTAAACCAGAGTAAATCACCTGCAACTGGGACAGTTCGCAACGCCCAAGCCACAGTTGCGACAAATGTCCCCAATTCCTGCAGTAGAGCAAAATAAGTTTATGCCTATATATATATATATTTATATCTGTCAATGTTCTCAATTCAGTGGCTTTCTCACATGCTGAGATGAGAACGACGTTCTGCACAGGACCTGGTACAAAGTGATGAAGATAATAATGTTGATAATTTTGATAATGATGATAGTGGTAATTTTAATGATGATACCTCTTGATTCGATTAATATCCCCAGGTCACTACGCCATAACAGAATGTTGGCTGGAATCTTCGCAACTCTAAGCTTACCTCCCTTGGCTTATGTAGCTGTTGTGTTGACATTAACTCTGATACTAACATTATGGGCGCAGAGCAGTCGAAGCGATCTCCCTCCATGTCCTGTACGGCCATATCCAATACTAGGCCACATTCCTCACTTGAAGAACAGGCCCCGGGAAACTTTAAAAGAGTTCAGAAAAAAGTGAGTAGTTATTTATCACAATATGATTCATGTTTGCAATGTTTTAACTTTCATCTGACCAAAATACCCTGGTACCGGTTATCACAGAGACCTACGCTTAAGAAATATAGTGAAAATGGGTCAAGAGAAAGACAAAGCAAAGTATGGAATGATGGCATTTAAACATTCTTAAGGAAGTGATGATCAACGTTTCTATTACATCAGAATGAGCACACGGAATAACCTGTCATTTCGCCCATTCAGTGAGGTAACTGGAGAAAGAGGAGGAGGGGGAGGATATGAAGAAGAAGAAGAAGAAAAAGAAGAAGAAGAAGAAGAAGAAGAAAAAGAAAAAGAAGAAGAAAAAGAAAAAGAAGAACACGTAGATGGTAATGAACAGGCAGAAAGATTGGCTGAATCTGCGCCACTGGGTGGTAAATTGTTACATAACAAGAAAGATATGGTCAAGGCCCTTTGGGAACAAGCAACGGAATCAGTAGAGTAACAAGATTAGTATGGCCTGGAGAGAATGAGGCACCTGGGTGTAACCAGGAAAATCAAGACGGGCATATAACCAGATTGTGACCGGTACCATCAGTATTGGACCTCTGCGCTGGCTGCTGAAGATGAGAACGGAGCACGCATGAGGATGCGCCGAGTGATATGATGTCAATTCTTGACTCAACTCAACTCAACTCAACCAGATATAGTGCCTTACTTGGAAAGACTGTAAGAAGATGGAGGTTACACAACACACCAACTACATCTGTCCCTTTTGAGGAAAAAACGCCAGAAAGAGAAAGGCTGTTGGCATTTCAAAATGTAGAAGAAGTTTTAGAACTGTAGCATATGGTGACTGGGTTTACTCGATAGCCCTCACCGCACAAGTATCAAGTGCCATTTGTCGTCTCAAAGAAATGGTAAAGATTCAGTTATCCCCATGGTGCACCTAAATAAGTAATCATCACTGTGACATAATATTTCCAAACATATAAATCTCATTGTTAAAACTGTAGAAAGGTTATTTCTTAACTGTTGAATATTGAATTAAGAATCGACATCATAGCACTCGGGACACTCCCATAAGTGCTGTCCCCCATCTTCAGCAGCAAGCGGAGAATTCCAGTTCCGATGGTACCAGTAACCGTCTGATTGTATACTTTATAACTGTAGGGCATCTAAAATAACTGTCGTGTCATAAAGTTTCTGACATTAGCTCATGTTAAATTTGCATCTAATTAAAAAACAAGTTACTTGTTTATCCTTTACAGGACGTTGCAGATCCAACCCCAGCTGTTATGGGTTTTCTACGCAAATTTACATCCAGGATTTGCGATTGCTTTCTGGAGGGTCGGCTTCTTGATACCACCATCGAAACCATTGCAAGGCGCAAGGCCCCCAGCTGGGATCGAACCATGCACCCCGATATTACAAAGCGCATCGCAACGCCTAAACCACAGGCGCCGACATCTGAATAGTGGCTCTACAGGACTAGGTATCAGTCAGTCAGACCAAGAGAGCAAAATAGTTATTATATATATATTATATATATATATATATATATATATATATATATATATATATATATATATTTAAAGATCCCTGTTCACTTCTTTAAGCATATCGGGCACATGGGAAGAGCACCCATATTTGTACAGACCATCGTCACTTTGTGGGTTATGCAGTCAGCATTACGCCGGCCGTCTATACTTCCCCAGGACAGCCATCCTAGTACCCATTTAAGGCTGGGTCGACCTGCGATGCCCCATACCATGATATAAATTCACGCAGCCAGCAGTTGGTTTCCATATAAATGTATAAATATATACCTTCAACTGGTGTATCTGTCTTGTGTTTGGTGAATGAGTGCGTTCTATTTACTGTCACCTCAACTAATATGCTTGCTTGTTCATAAGGGCTGGCGATGTATTCAGCATATATACAGGCACCAAGCTGACTGTTGTATTGTATGGCTACGACGTTATCAGGGACACACTGGTGAAACAGGCAGATATTTTCTCTGACGCACCACAAAACCAACTGAACAGTGTGTTTAAGGATGGAGCAAAAGGTAGCTAAATCAATTGTTTTGTATATATATATACATACACAAATCAAGGGGCACTTTAACTTGCGGGTTTAGACTGCCTTGCCCTGCCTTCCCACAGAGAAAACTTTTAAGGGGGCTTAATAATTTCCTAACCAATATAAAAGGTCTCATTTTAAGCATTTTATATCTATTTAATCTTACATCAAATATATTATTATATTTATTTTGCCATTTAGACGATTATTAGTATTAATGCACACTTATACAAGGACTAGAACCCTAGTGGGGCCGTTCATAAAATTTCTAAGGAGTTGAGAATGGTATGCTATCACTGGTGTCTTCTTCTTCTTCTTCCTCTTCTCTTCCACCTTGTACCTCATTGAACTGCCAGGGAAAAGGGGGGGGGGGGGGGGGGACATGTAATGTTCGTTGATGGGCTTTGTCAAGAGCAATATTAAGACTGATGTTTATTTCTGTAGGGCTGTTCTTAATGCCATCACTCCATCTTTATCACTGGTGTCAGCTACTCTTATTTCAAGTCTGACCTCAATTTACCTTTTCCTTATTAAGATTTCCAGTTTATTCTCTCCCCGTATTTTACAGGAATTATTGGATCTTCTGGGAAGAGCTGGAAGGAACAGCGCAGTGTTTCACTGGCAATCCTCAGAAATTTTGGCATGGGCAAAACTACACTAGCAGAGAAAATTCAGGAAGAGGTATTATCATATATTATGAGAAATTATTTATTCTAACCAGGGCTTATTTTTATAATTAATTTAAAAAGTTGCTGGTACACACCAAAATGTGTCCATAGCAGTTGTACTGGGGGAAAAGCATACTTCTGTGTACCACCAGAGAAAACAAAACTATGATTGTGTGTGTCAAAAGTTGTGGGATGCAATTTTTTGTTTTTTGAAAGCCCACCCTGGTTTCTGCTTGAGGCCCTGAATATAGCCGGGCCATAGATATGGCCTAACGGCTGAAAGGGGTTTTTGGGACCTCTCCACGGTTGTTCCTCGTCCGCATGGTGGCACTTTTTGTCACCGAGTGTGTATCGCTTGTGTGATTTTCTGGTGGGGTACAAGTACCTAGCAATGATTCTAACTAAATAATAATTTAGTATTTCATAAGATATTGATACAGTAAGAATACTTTCTTGTTAAGCAAACTACTGACTCTTACGTAAAGTAACTACACTTTGACCTTCTGTAGTAGATGTCCTTGTGCAGCTGCTGATCTTTTGGTGACTTCTGCTACCATCAATGAGGAACTGCATTTCTAATGTCGGACTGGTAGTCTGGTAGTCTTAGTTTCAGCTTGTTTGTGTTAGCACTTCGGATGGCTACCGTATGCTTTTAATGCTTGTGTATGCTAGATTTGCTGAGAAAAGCAGTCTGTCAATCATTCCACAAAGGACTGTGATAAACATTCTGTGTGTTTTTCGTTGGCACAGGAGCGGAGCAACTATGGAGTGACCCGTTTGCTATAAAGCTGAAACTAAGATTACCAGATTACCAGTGGATGTCCTTGGTTTGGTCACCTGTGTGACTCACACCAGACTAGGTCTAGTAAATCAAGACAGGGTTTGTATAATATCAAACAGTCAGTGGTTAAGTTGTTGAGTCATTTGCCTAGAGTCGTGAAGGTCTCAAATTAATTCTGCCGACTAGATTATAGATCAACATCTATACGACATGTGCCTGTTTAGACATGTATGCCTTCCTTTATTGAAATCATTTTCTAAAATTAGTAGTAGCAGTTGTGATAGTGGTAATACTAGTAGTAGCACTGCCAGCAGGAGCAACAGTAGCATCGCTGTTACGGTAAAAGTAGTAGCAGCAGTAGCAGTTGTAGCAGCAGCAGTAGTAGCAGCATTAGTAGTGGTAGCAGCAGCAGCAGCAGTCATGGCTTTTTCCCTGGAGAAAAAAAAATTAAAGCATTCACCTCCTTCTCATCCTCTTCTATAGTCCTATTTTGTTTTTCAGTGCCAGGTTTTGAAAAGTCATCAGGTGCGAACATGGGTGGCCACTAGTTCTGTTTTCATTGTATCTCAGTGACAGGTCTCTGTGTGGTGCACTGTGTGGTGTAATCTTGGCACATGTCCCAACCATTTGATCTGTTGATGTAATTTTTTACTCATCATTTCTTACTATGTCTTTTCTAGTTAAATTTAGGATTTCATTGCTGTTTTATTTCACTTTATCTTTCTCCAATTTTTGTCACTCTTAACACAATTTCGGTTAAATACTGCGCACTCAAATTCGGAAAACTGCTTGTTATACGGACACTACTTTACAAACTAGGTGACCGGTGTAAGGTAGCTATGTAATAGATACCATCCCACCGTGGAGTTCCCAGACGTGAGGGAGCTGATAAACTAGCTAAAGGGGGTGCAAATTAGGAACAACCTTATCAACAGAAGAAGAGAATAATCATATCAATCAGATAGCGTGTAAGGTAGCAATGTAATGGATACCATCCCACCCAGCTAAAGGGGTGCCAATTAGGAACAACCTTATCAACGAAGAAGAGAGTTCCCAGAGCGTGAGGGAGCTGATAAACCTAGCTAGCTAAAGGGGGTGCAAATTAGGAACAACCTTATCAACAGAAGAAGAGAATAATCATATCAATCAGATAGCGTGTAAGGTAGCAATGTAATGGATACCATCCCACCGTGGAGTTCCCAGACATGAGGGAGCTGATAAACTAGCTAAAGGGGGTGCAAATTAGGAACAACCTTATCAACAGAAGAAGAGAATAATCATATCAATCAGATAGCGTGTAAGGTAGCAATGTAATGGATACCATCCCACCGTGGAGTTCCCAGACGTGAGGGAGCTGATAAACTAGCTAAAGGGGGTGCCAATTAGGAACAACCTTATCAACAGAAGAAGAGAATAATCATATCAATCAGATAGCGTGTAAGGTAGCAATGTAATGGATACCATCCCACCGTGGAGTTCCCAGACATGAGGGAGCTGATAAACTAGCTAAAGGGGGTGCCAATTAGGAACAACCTTATCAACAGAAGAAGAGAGTAATCATATCAATCAGATAGCTACCAAAACAGGTACCATATTATGAACAGACGAAAGCCAGTCATTTTTTTTTACGCATTTAACACAGGGCACAATCTACTTCGCAGCCATTTGTACACACAATTTAAGATTGGCGAATCAGCTATGGGCACATGTGGATTAACACCTGAGACAACAAATCATGTACTTAAAGATTGTCCCATATTAAGGCAACATTTCTGGCCAAGAGAAGCACGGGTGCAAGCCAAACTGTACGGGTCGCTGAGTGAATTACAACAGACAGTGAAGTTCATACTACAGACAACGAAGATATAGATGATCTATTTTACGCGAATGAAAGAAGAAGAAGAAGAAGAACTGCCTGAAAAATAGCCATGGTCGCTGCAGTAGTAGTTGCAGAAGCAGGAAAAGCAGCAGCAGCCGTAGCTTTAATATTAACCTATTTGACTCTAATGACTAACAACTAGGAAATAGAATCCTGAAAAACATATAGCTAATGCATTATTTGGTTTTTTGAAGGTTTCTGAATACCTCAGTGAGCTTGCTAAGTTTAATGGCAAACCCCAAGAAGTGAGAACACTGACAAATGTTGCTGTTTGTAATGTTATCTGTGCAATCATCGTGGGCAAGCGTTTTGATTACCATGATCCCTACCTTATCCGCTTAATACATATTCTGAATGAACAGGTATGTTTCTTGACTTGGCATATTTATTTTATATTTTAATTTATCTGCTGTTGTAAATATTTACTAATTTTAGGATACTGATTTTCTTTCAATTTTATATTCAAGACCATATAGACTTCTTAATGTAAATATTAAAAAAAAAATATATAAAATCACAAATATGTAAATTTTTTTGTGTTTTTTTAAACTGTGATATAACAGTATGCGCTGTTTTCTGTACACAAATTGAAAATGTATAGGCTCATATTTCAGATAAAATTGGTTAAAAGTGTGTCGCTTCGATATGCCTTTCCCTGGATTAGATATTTGCCTGGTGACTTGTTCAACATCAAGAAGCTAATAAAGAACAATAACGAATTAATGGATCACTTTTGGTAAGATTCAAAACCAAAGTGTAGTTTTAATAACTTTTAGGTTTTTCTGTTTTCTTAATTTCTGACAAGATGGATGCTTGCAGATGTCTAAATATCAGTTATCAGTCATTTTTCTGTGGACATGTGAATGTGAAAGAAATTGTAGCAGATCCCAGACAGCTGTTTACTATCTTATTATTATTGCATTTTATGCAACACTTAAAATGAAATAAGCTTAATTTTCTGGAGCATTTAGCTCAGATGTGTGTATGTGAGTAAGTAACCGAGCGAGAGAATGAGAGAGTGTGTGTGGTGTGTGCGCGCGCATTTGTGTGTTTGTATGTGTATGTGTATAAAACAGTGAAACGAAAATAATTTCAATTTTCAAAGCATCAATTATGAAAAAATACATTTTAGTACATAACAGTAAGTATATATATATATATATATATGGGTTAAATGTGCTTTCCGTGTGTATTTTACAGTTACCCATTCATCAATCAGTTCTCAAAGAAACTTGATAATGCAGAGGAAGACGATGAGAGTACCATCAATTTCATTACTTCATATCTCAAAGAGCTGAAACACAAGAAAGCGAATGGAGAGTCAACTACAATGGAAAGTATGACTTTATTTTCAAATCAGATGTACGAAGAGCTGTGGGTTTTTTTGAGGGAATACATGGAATATAACAGAATAGGCGACAACACAAAAACATCTACTTACCCACACTGGGAGATAGCTTACTTCAGGACATTTTTATACAGCCCCAGTATAACTGTGCTGATTGTATATACAGTTGAATGGGGATTTCTATCTGTTGGATTCTCATCCTTGAGATGAAATTCCTCATCATCATCATGTGGCAGTTCTTTTACAGAAAGTAGCTTTTATTAGGTCTGCCTGAAAAACCTTGGTCTCTTATTTGCTCTCTCCCTTGCTCTCATGCACTTTCATTTCAAAGAATCACTTATATCCTGTGTTGGTCGGTCCCTGCCCTTCCTTCTTGGTGCCATGCCTTTTGCTATTATTTTTTTTTTAATCTCATATGGCGCTTGATGTGACCAAAATATTTAGCTTCCGAGACAAAATGCTGTTTTTAAGCCAATCTTCCTTAGCTACAGAGAGCAAATCTATAGAGAGAAAAACGTTTTTAATGTATTCAGCATTTGAATTCAGTTGTAAGTAAAGATAGTAAAGTAAGTTGGTGAGCTGGTCAGTTACCAGCACAAAAGTTGGTGATCTGGTCAGTTACCAGCACACCAGCTGTAATTCTGTTCTCAGTACATCTCTGGATGCTCAGTTTAGGTTTTGTCAACCGGGCAGCCCATCTAAATTTTTACAGATTTGAAGCCAGGACCACTAGCACAATAGACTGGCAGATGAATGCACTATCCCTGGCACCACCACTTCTTCCTTATCAATGTAGACATACATTAACCTATCGGTCTTAAAAGGTTTTCTACAAAATCATTACTGTTTTTATTAAATATTGCCATGAACATTCTAATTCCTGACTGTTGTGTAGCATTGATTGAAAGATGCCACTCTGGTTGCCAGATTTAGTTAGTGTGCACAGACCAAAACTGAAACATAAGAAGACACTTGATGTGATGTTTTAGACCTGTGAGGAATAGTTAGCAACACATCGTTCATTGTTTCAGACAACAGAAAAAGTTAAAGTGATGTGTGTGTCGCAAAATAAAACTTTAGATTCAAATACAAAGAATCACTCTGAGGGTGCTGGGACCCAGTATTTCATTGGGGGGGGGGGAGGAGGGGATGAGAGAATAGACCCATTTCCTCAGTAACAATATTATTGTTAAAGATGACTAATTAGGGATGTTTTCTTTGAAATCAGAGTGCATCTGTATGAGACGTAAGGAACCATCAGTCTGCGTACAAATAAGCTAGATCTATAAAACGGATGTGCACACAAAATTCAAGATCTGGAATAAGACCAAAGTTCAGAAGTAGATGAGCAACCAGAACTTTCTACCAGAGTTTGCAGCTGGTGAACGCTAAGAAGAAGAAGTAGACATTTCAGGAAGCTTACAAGCTACAATAGTTGATAAAGTTTGTGCAATTATGTCCACATACGTCTAGTACCGTAAGGACACCTATGGGGGTCAGTGTGGTAACAGGTTTTCACAGCAAAAGTCCAAGGGAATGAATGACCATTAAGAAAAGTGGCAGATGCATAAGATTCAAACAGGCAGATTATGCAGCAGAAGAAGACTGCATGGAAGCCATATTTATTCAGTATGCTGTAACCAGTAGTAAAAAAGCTGAGGGGGCGAACTCATTATGCGATGGCTGGGATTCATGTAGAAAGTAATTAGGCATCACTTGTGGCATGGGACTAAAAGAGTACTCTTCCAATACTAAACAACTCATCATTCATTGACTGTTACTCCTCTCATGAAATATTTTCTCAACTTCTTATGTCCCGTCTGGCTGCTATATTCACCAATTAATTCAGTTTTTTTTTTTTTTTTCAGTTTTTTTTTTCTTTGCTTATTGTATAGTTTTCACAACAAGTTTTGTATTTTTGTGTTCTAATGTAATTTCGATTTTGACACGTGCCAGTGAAAGTTGAAGAAGCATTAAAGACATGGAATTAAAGCATACCACATTGGAAAACAAACTCCTGAGGAAAATCATTAAACATAAAATGGGGTGAATTCATGAAGAGTACAATTTAAGAGAAATGTATGGGCAATCACTAGTATCAACATTTACAATATAGAGAAGACTGCTCTATGTTAAACACATCATGAGGAGTTAAACTATTTATAAACAATTATAAATGAATGTAAAAAAAAAGGGCAGCTTTTATTCTAAATTTAAAAAAAAATTGCGAGGTATAGAGATAGGTGCACATGCCTCTCAAATACTAAAATGTTTATGTGCTTTTCGAACATGTCAACGAAGACTGAGGGTTAGTTAAAGAAGAGAAAGACATACACACACAAAAAAGGGGAATAACAGCAGAAATTTTTTTGAAAGAAACTCCTCCATCGATGCACTTGCATGACCCTAACGGGTCAAGGGTTTGTGTTATTTTGAATAATTCCTCAGCATTGCTAGCGATTCCGGTTGATTGTTGCAGACATCATCCGCTTCCATTCATCTATATGATTTTCCTCCTCTTTCCAGCTGGCGACCCCAAGTGTACATCATCTCTCCACTTTCCTTTTGGTCTGTGTTATGGTGTACTCCTATTCAACTATTTTGTTTACGCATGTTGTGTCTCTCGGTTATCTGCCTTTCTCTATGTGTGCCAAACTATTTCAGTGTCAGTCGTCCCCATGTGGGATGCAATTCTTCATTGTTTGTTGGGTGCCCTAAATATAGCCGGGCCATAATTATGCCCAAACGGCTGAACGGAGTTTCTGGGATCTCTCCACAGGTGATACTCAACAGCATGGTGGCACATTGTGTCACCTGGTGTTTGTCGCTTGTGTGATGTCCTGGTCGAGAACAACATACCTACCTATACCTACCACTGCAGTCTATTAGCTAGTCAACTGAAGAAATTAGTCCTTGTCTTGTACAATTGTGTGTGTCATTATGTTAATTTTACTGGTTCACTAGTTGCCCAGTTGGCAAGAGTCATCCAAAACCTGTTTATAGCCGGAAGCGAGACAACCAGCACTACAATTTTATGGTTTGTGTTGTATATGCTACACAATCCAGAAATACAGAAAAAGGTAATAGCAAACATGAGCTACAATATGTCATTATATTTTAGTGATTCAAGAATGTAACCAATTTTTACAGTTTTTATATCGCCTGCCATTCTATGTTATATGAAAATATTAACATAAGTAAGAAATCTTAAAATGTGTCTTCTGCATGTGGGTGCCAGGCTCCCGTTGTGGTGAGGAGGGTGTGGATAAATAGACTCACTACTTCTCTAACAAGCATAAAAGTCAACTAATGAAGGGTTTCCTTCAATGTTGCATCTGAAGGAGAGACAAGGAGCCAGCAGTCTGCTTATGAATAAGCCATACCTGTAAAATGGATGTGCATGCAAACTCAAGGTCTGGTACAAGACTAAATACTGGAAGTGGATGCACAGCCAGAACTTTCTTCTAGAGTTTACCGCCGCTGGTGAACGTGAAGAGGGAGAGGGAAAAAAAAGTAGTTCTGATATACAAACCGAGTTATGAAGGATAAGCATATTTACAGAACATCTATAAAATATATAATTATTTATGTAATTAAGCTTTCAAACAGCAGAACTTTTTTTGGTTTTCTTGTTACATAAATATTTTTGGAAAACCTTAAGACAATGATGTTAATCAAGTGTGTAACATCAAGCAAAAGATTTCAGCTTGAAGGTGTGATTCTGTTCTGGCATATAATTATGCTTCTTTTCTGAGACTGGTAGATACCTATCCAATTCTGAGATAACCATCCCATTCTGAGATACCCATCCCGTTCTGAGATACCCATCCCATTCTTAGATAACCATCCCATTCTTAGATACCCATCCCATTCTGAGGTACCCATCCCATTCTAAGATACCCATCCCATTCTTAGATACCCATCCCATTCTGAGGTACCCATCCCATTCTAAGATACCCATTCCATTCTTAGATACCCATCCCATTCTGAGATACCCATCCCATTCTAAGATACCCATCCCATTCTGAGATACCCATCCCATTCTGAGATACCCATCCCATTCTGAGCAAAGAAAATTTAAGTCTGCCCAGCCTATTAAAGTTGTCATGCTCTGATTTGTAATTTTAATTGTCCTTTTTATTTTAATCGATATGTCTTTCCAGAGTTCTGTTCAGCATTGACTCGCATTTGAATCGATGTCTTCTCAGAGTTCAGTTTAGCATTGACTCTTCTTCTCACTTTAGCTGAGAAACTGACTGACTGACTGACGTCCAACTCGATCAGGACCGCACGACGATAAACAAGCAACCGGTGACTCAAAGTGCCACCATTCGGATAAAAATTACCAGGGCGCAAGTCCCAAATACCCTGTTCAACACGCAGTTTATGTTTGGGATCCCTGACAAGAGCTGGGGCGGGGCTTTAAAATAACCACACAAACAAAACTGCGTTCCACATTGGAACGAATGTAACAGGTAAGAAAAACTGTATCCTGCTTTTTGGACATAAAGCAGACTTATTAGTTTAAATTGCTGCGTTATCAAAAACAGCATATAAATCGATCGCGGGTTTTTTTTTTTTTTTTTTTGCATTTTTATATGAAAGTAATTCATAGCAATGTTCTCATTTTTAAATTTAAGCAAAGTATCAGGCTATCGGTCGGGGTACCAGCTTTATCGTATCACCTTATAATTGCACAATTCCTGTGCCAGTAAAAACAAAATATGCTGATTGTTGTCCCATTTAAGTCAAACAGTCACCAGTCCAAGCATAATCCAACAGCTTGTGAATGCTTCAAATGCATAAGGCAGCTGCCAGAGGTGCCAACACCTCAGTCTCTCACTAGAATTACTATTCATACATGATGCAAGTAGTTGTCCTTATAAACCAGCAGATGCACACGCATTACTGCATAAGACACATAGTTCTGTGGTAACCAGCCACTTGCCATTATTCTAATAAGCAGTTTACAACATATATCTTCAGGAACACACGCGATAAGCATTCCCCATGAAATTCTCAGCTCACAGTGTAGCACTATGCACTCAACAGTAGTTTACCAGGACAATCGAATTTTTGCCTTGACCTCATTTATTGTTTATTATAGTTTCCTTCTGGGGGTTGAGCAAAGTAGACAAAACAATAGACTGTACACTTTATTGCCAGCCTTTGGCAGTTTTCTTTTAGAGTGATTGAACTTGTATTACAGCTGTAAAGGATTTATTTATTTGCCTAATTGTATTTACTTATTGATAGATCCACCCGAGATAGCAGAAAGATGGAGGGAATACTTCAATGAGCTCTTTAATCCTCTAGGAGATCATCAGGAAAGAACAACTGAAGAGCACAGAGCAACAGTGTTAGAACCACGCATACTATTGGATGAAATAGAAAAAGTCATTAAACAGTCTCCCAAATATAAAGCCCCAGGAGCTGATAGATTACCAACAGAAATAATTCAAGCAGCAGGTGAAAGCAGCATCAGATGGCTTCACAGAATATTCAATGCAGCATGGGTACAAAAAACGGCCCCTATTGATTGGCAACATGCAATAGTTATACCATTGTGGAAGAACAAAGGAAGCAAACGAGAATGCGGTCAATATCGAGGCATCTCTCTTTTAAGCCATGTTGGCAAAATGTATGCCAAGATAATAGAAACAAGACTGAGACCAGTGATAGAACCACAGCTGGCAGAAGAACAGATGGGATTTAGGAGAAATAGAAGCTGCACAGATGCAATCTTCACACTTAAACAGTTAATAGAAAGGAACATTGAATACAATAAGAACTTATTTGTGGCATTCGTAGACCAGGAGAAGGCATTTGACAGAGTCGACAGACAATTATTATGGAAAATAATGGCAAGATATGGAGTAAGCGAACACCTCATCGAAGTGTGCAAAAGTTTATACAGGGATTGTAGAAGTGTAGTTAGAATAAATCAGGGAACATCTCATCCTTTCTCAGTGACATCGGGAGTAAGACAGGGGTGTGTCTTATCACCACTGCTGTTTATCACCTACATCGACAGTATATGCAAGAATGCCAAGCCCATGAATGAAGATCTTAGTAAGATCAACGAATTACTCTTTGCAGATGACCAGGCCTTGATAGCAGATACAGCCATGAAATTGCAACAACATCTAACATCCATGAATGAAGAATGTAAAACAAATAATATGAGAATCAACACTGAAAAGACAGAAGTAATGTCAATAGGAAAAAAAGAAGACAGATCTAAACATAACAATAGAATACAAAGGCATTAAACAGGCATCTGAGTTTAAATATCTGGGAACTACATTTACCGAAGATGGGAAATTGGATAAAGAAATTGACATTAGATGCAGTAAAGCAAACCAAGTATTGGGACAGCTAGCCCCCCTCTTACAGCATAAGACAATCCCAATCAGCACAAAGAGACATCTTATTCAAAGCATATTTATTCCAACTCTGTGCTACCAGTGCCAGACATAGTCACTCACAACAAACCATAAAAGAAAATTAGTAACCACGGAAATGAGATGTCTGAGAAGGGCTGTAGGAGTGACCATAAGAGATAAGATCAGGAATGAGATCATAAGAGAAAAAGTCGGCACAGAACTAATTCTGGATTACATACAAAGACAGCAAGTGAAATGGTTTGCCCACTTAGAGAGAATGCCTTGTGACACCATACAATACAAAGCATACATGGAAAGAGAAGAAGGACGTAGAGCACGGGGTAGACCAAGAACAAGATGGAAGGATAACATCAGAGAAACTCTACAACAGCACGATGTGCCTATGGTCGAGGCAGCCAGAAGAGCTAGAAACAGAACCTTATATCTCCCTCGACACCCACAGCGGTAAAAGAGGAAGTGGAGAAGAAGAAGAATGTGGTATTTCCCCATGACAAGAAGCAGTGAAAAATGGCAGGCAATAAATTGTGCAGCCTATTGTTTGTGATAAGAGTAATTATTTTATTTTTTTAAATAATGTAATTTTATCTCATTCAGTGAACTGGCACTTTAACAATACTGTAATTGTACCTATTTTTGTAGATCTTCAAAGAAATCAGTGATGTTGTTGGTACAGAGAGAGTTGTGTCTCTACAAGACAAATCTCAGCTCAGCTACCTTAATGCAGCCATCAGGGAAACACAGAGGTTGGCCAGTATCGTTCCTTTCAAGTAAGTCTCAGAAAGAGAAATAAAGCTATTAGTAATGTATGTAGTAGTTGTAGTAATTTAAACAATATTCTGTTCAATTCATCTGGTTTAAATTAGGATATATTCTTTTTCAGAATTTTATATTTATACTTATCAGTTACCTTTGTTTGTCTTAATCTTGCAAAAATGATCTATTAATTGTAACAGATTGATGGAGAATGGATTCTTTTGTGTAGTTTATATTTCGTGTGGTCTGTGCTGTGTTTTATTGATCAGAATGTTTGGTCACGAACTTTTACCTATGTACTGCTGTCACATACCGCTAGTGTCGCGTGCCTGTTTTAAGGATTTCTCCTTAAGAACCAACAGCACTGAAATAGATTAATGTTGAGGTGTCGGCTCGTATTGGTCTAGAGGGTATCCCGTGGCCAATATACACCCAACCTATTTCAGGAGTAGGGCAACTCAAGTTATGGCTCTACAGAATATATAATAATCCTAGGCGCAACTTGGCTGGACGTGCCCACTACTATAAGAAGATAGCCCCCAGGCTATGATATTGTAATACCACAGTCATGTTAACACAGATTAAGATTAATGGTCACACATAAATAAATGCTAGACAGTTTGAACAGTGAAACACGGACACCCAAGTCAGTAATGAAAACTTCCAAAGGCATGTAATAAATGCAATATATATATATATATATATATATATATATATATATATATATATATATATATATATATATATATATATATATCATCAAGACAAGCAAGGATGTTCCCAGATGAATGGAGTTCAGGAACTTAAGTCCAAATAGTACTGCTGAATCAGCCAAAGTCAGTCTATGAGAGTATCGGTGATCATCATCATGGCTCCAGGTGAACCTGTAAAAAGAGCATGAGGTATATGATCACTGATGTACTTATCCAAGTTCGGTGGATGTCGCTGCTCTTCTCAGTCCATGGTGATCTGAACAAGCTGATTCGGGTGGACTGCTTCTTTTCCTGGTTACCCTGCTTAACACTGACAGAGTTCATACACTGGAGCTCAAAAAGTTCATGAGGAAGGTTCTCTTTGATGGATAACAAATGGGTGGCCTGCAACAACTGTTTCTCAGCCACTGGAGCCCAAACAAGCTCATGAAGAAGGATCTCCCCGAGTGATGACAAATGGGTGGCCTGCAACAACTGCCTCTTAGCCACTAGAGCCCAAACAAGCTCCTGAAGAAGGATCTCCTTGAGTGATGACAAATGGGTGGCCTGCAACAACTGCCTCTTAGCCACTGGAGCCCACACAAGCTCCTGCCATGTTGAAGTTGTGGTGGTAGACAATCCTAGTGGATGGTGGTTGGTTGGACTGCGGATCGTCTGCCTGACTTCCGGGGAGGTATCATCCTGTGTCAGAAAGGAACTTAGGATTAGTATTTATCTCAGGAGTCACATACCTAGCTCAGTTTATTACCCTCCACCCTTCTCAGTCACTCAGAGGATAGCTCTCATGATAATGAGACAGTTAAATCTTCATTTATCTCTGTCTGTCAGTCAGTACAGGAGATAGGAGACAAGTTCCATAGTGGAGATAGATAGACTCTAGTACACATAGGACATCATCTCTCCACATTCACATCTGCACTTATAGACACACATCCCATCTCTTTCTCACATATATATTATACCTCCACAGTCTGACTGTAGCTGACACTGTTGTGTTGTGTCTGCTAAAAATAACCTCTGACGTCACAGCTTCTCGCTCGCTGTAGTTTGACCCAATTAAATCTGCCGGCTATATCGATCTGAATCTCTGCCAGTTAGTTAAAGAATGATCAGCCTGCAAGATTAAAAAATGTAAACTAATACAGGGTCAGGTATGGCACAAACTATCAGCTTGAGCAGGGAAAGGTTAGGTTTAAATGGCTGTGAGTACCTGGACACCAAGAACGGTCTTGTTCTGTGCTGTCTCATAGCTGAATCTTTCCTCCCTGCAGCAGCGGGTCAACTTTAAAAAGACATATATCAGGGTACTCGCACACTATAATCAACTTACCCAAGCTTTATGAAATGTCCTAGACATAAAAGGCCGCCTCCTCAAAGCACAGATATTCGAGGCAAATTTAGGAACCTCAGTTCTTCTTGGCAGTCAGACATAAAATAGAGCGGGACGCTAGGCGTCACTTCAAAAGAAGTACCTCTCAAATCAGTACGCCGAGGAGTAAAAAGGCTACTCGGAATCTGACTATTTATCTGGAAAATATATATCCCACAATTGTAAGTTTGAAAATGTAGACTTTACAAGACAACTAGAGCATATAGAAAAACCTATTACGCCAGAAGAAGGTATAAATAGATATGAGGGACTATATACCCACCGGACAGGTCTATTTTTGAAATGTGACCTGCCCGCTAGAGGCGTTAACGTCATGAATAGACGAATGTGTAGGGGTGGGTTGGATCACTTCACGACAACTGCCAAACTTTATTAATACAGGTCTTCCATTCCATTCAGCCAAACTGTCAGTCATAATTTTTCATGTTTTTTTTTTTTTTTTTTTTACCTCCGGTGTAAGATAGGGCGAAATGTAAGACTGATTTAGGTATGCCCAACGTGTGACCCTTTGGAAAAAAGTTCATTCATTCATGTGTTCATTTATTCATTCTAATTATCCTGTCATAAAGTATACCAGTTTTCCCCCTACTATGACTTGCCCTGCCCAAATAATATCCTTCAAAGCAGCAGAAGAACATCTTAAATTTTTGTTGTTAACATCAATTTCTTTCTTTTAATTAAGAAATAATTGTTAGCTAAATGTAAATGGTGTTTAGATAAAACGTTAGGTCTAGTCTTACATTTACAGAATTGTTTCCTTGTGATAATCATATCCATGAACCGGAATATATGAAAAAACTTTAGTTGATTTTAAATAATATTACGGGCCATTATGAGATTCAAAATGGAGCAGTAGCTGGCTGGCATACGTGCTTGCTTGCAAGTGTAGATGTGTGCTTTTTCTTCTTCTTATTCTTCTTAGCGTTCACTGGCAGTAAATTCTTGTGGAAAGTTCGGATTGTTCATCCACTTCTAGACTTCATCGTGTTCAAGAAGTTGAATTTTGGTTGATGCTTTCTCAATATCCTACCCTAAACAGAGGAAATCCACAGGTTACGGGACAGTCTAATATTTTATGGGGTGGTAGATAGGCTGCATGCAGTCATGTGACCTAGGCTGCATACATTCGTGGGACCAAGGCTGCACTCTCTCGTGGGACGTAGGTGGGTTGGGGTTAGGGCCAGTTCTAGCTATTGTGGGGTTGTTAAAAGCATCAGAAAGCCAGGAAACCTACCTTTACCACCCTCGAAAATGTTAGACTGTCCTGTGACGTCATCATGGGTAGGATATTGCGAAAGAACCGAATTTTGCATGCATACATGTTTAAAAGATCTGCTCATTTTTACGGAGTTTGTTGGCTCCTAGGTTGTCAGGTAAATGTGCTCCAACTTCAAAGGACAATCCCATAATTAGTCACCTTTTACAATACGACATGCTTGATAAGGAGGCAGTAGGTCTTCCCCCCACCCACCCTGCAAACATGGAGCCCCGGAACCCACACGGGGAATCATATGTTTGACTCTCCAACCCATTTCTGGAGCTATGGGTTAAATGTTTTGTGAGACACTCTCTGCGGGCCATTAGCCATTCTGCTGAGAGAGATCAAGCTATGTGGAATAACATATGATATGAAGCTGACTTTTAACACTGAATCCCAAATGAAGTAGAATTGTAAATCAACCTAGCCTCAAATTTACGCCTTCAAGTCCAAGTCCTTGTCCTTTTGAGAAAAAAAATGAAAAGGTCGACCACTTTCAGACTGCTGCTAGCTAGCCAAGGCTGCTAACAGTCTCTGCCTATATTTGTGGTCTGGGTTATTTGTGTCACTTTCGTGAGTAAAATCGAGTATTTGCGCCATTTCTGGGCTTCATGCTTCCATCTGATTCAGACAGCTCGTCCTCCACCCTGTTGTTACTTGTGCATGTCTTTCCTCTTCTTCCTTGATGTTTCCTGTTTGTTTTGTCTCTCTTTGATTTGGCCCGGCATTTACGCCTTTAAATTTCTGTCAAGATAAGGCAGTAGAACACCTCAACTATTTAATACTGATTGGTCTAGATACGCTTGAGACAGTACTATTAACCCACGTGTTTCCGAGCTCTTACTTTATGCGCAAACATTATTTTCTTGGGTTTCTTGTTTTTAAGCTATCACCAGTTTGTTTTTTAAATGCTTCTAACATTGTTATCTCTTCAATTGTTTCTATAGTCTGCTTCACGCAAACACTGTTGAAGTCAAAATCAGAGGATACACCATTCCAGCAGGCACGACTATTATACCAAACTTGGACTCCATCTTACATGATGAAAAAATATGGGGTGACCCAATGAACTTCCGACCAGAGCGATTTTTGGACAGTACAGGGAAGCTTGTCAACCGGGAAGAATTTGTGCCTTTCTCACTTGGTATGACCTTATTTTCTATTTAATTGCATTGAACATGTTTTTAACACACCTAACTTAGGAGGTGTGCATGCAACAGACTGCACATCTCTAGAGATGTGGACATACAGAATAATATATCGTACTTTATGGAAACAAAAAAATACAAAAAAAAAAAAATACAATGGCTCGGGAGAGACTACGCATGGAAAAGAAGGTTACCGAAAGAAATAAAATAAAAAGAGACAACTGAAATAGTTTTGCCACATAAGAAAACTTTTCAAAAACCATACTAGAGGGTAAATTCAAAGGCAAGTGAGAAAGAGACAGACAATAATACAAGTCCGAGGACAACATCAAGAGATGGGCCGACAGCAGTATGAGAGAGTGTACAGCTTTGACAAGATACAGAGATTGTTGGAGGTCCATTGCAGCCAACCTTCATTGTGCAGATGGCACCTGATTGATTAAACCTTAGAATGTTAGTTTGCAACTAGAAGCTGGCCTGAATCACTTTAATTAGGCACAGATAAAAGAGGGCGCAACAGTATGCAGTCTATGTTTATATGTGTATTTCACTATTATTTGTCATTGTCATTCTAATATGTGAATTAATTTACTACACTTGCTACTAAGACTCTGAGAACAGTGGTAGAGAAGTGGTAAGACACTCCCATGTCAGTGTGCAAGTCTTGTGTTCAAATCTGCATCAAGTCAGATTTTTTTCAAAAATGTACAATGGATCCCCAGATAACCAAGCCTAAATGGGTACCAGGGAAATAAAGGCGGTCAGTATCATTTGTCTAGTCCACTAGAGGCATAACCGTTTGCCGCGGGCTCTGAAGGTTAAGGGTTCGTTTCATGGCTGCGCCGTTCAGTTCATAAGTGCTATTTTTATGGAGATACCTAGACCTAGGTATTGTTGCCGGGGCTGCCGAGTTTGTGCTTTGTGCGACACTCTTAGCAGGTAGCTAGCCGTTCTACGGAGAGAGAGAGAGTGAGCTGTATGGGATAAAACCCGGTGCAACGAAAGTCAGTAATCTCGACTTTAACCACAGGCATAAAAATGGTCATTCACTTTACTTGCATACTATAATTCCATCACAAGTTATACGAGTACTGTACTAAAGTAAATTCAGTCATGTTTCTTTTAGACCAAGGTTTAAATATATGTATGATGATGAACGTTTCTACTACTATGGACAAAAATAAACATCCTAAGCTGCACAGTCCATAGCAATTGCACCAGCCATGCAGCCCTAAATTTTCGCTGGGGCCAAGCAGTTAGAATGCTGGGCTCGTTTTCAGAAGACACAGGTTCAAATCTTCTGTTAGGGGTGGGTTTTTAACTATCAGGCGTAAAGAGAACAAAAACCTTACCCTTTACAGTCTATGGCATACAAAATACAGGCAGTTTTTAATTACAGTGCATGAAGACAAGCTAGGATCATTTATCATTACTTTTCCCTACAGGTCGACGTGTGTGCTTGGGTGAGTCACTGGCTAAAATGGAACTGTTCCTATTTCTGTCTGCTTTGGTCCAAAGATTTGAGTTTCTGCCAGCCACACCAAAAAGCCTGCCTCCACTGACATGTGCATTTGGAATTACATGCCCACCAGAAGCTTATGAGGTCAGATTCGTCGAAAGGAAAAAATAAATTTGGGCATCTTCTTTTTCTTTTGTTATATTATGGGTATATTTTATAATGAAAAAACAGCAACGTATTTTACAACTTATTACCTGGCATATTGTGCTGTAGATCATCAGATTTTGTTTGTGTCATTATTATTTGCCAGATTGTTATGTGTAAAAGATGCCCTATGCCACAAGTAATTACCAGTTTGTGCAGCACTTTTTTTTTCCAGCCTAAAATTTAGAAATAAATAATGTCATCACTTCCTTTGTTATAGGACGACCTGCAATTTTGAACTTAAACAGAATTTAGAAGTATATTATCTTTTACAAGGAATAATGCGGTAAATTACCACTGAAACTATTCTTTATTTTTTTTTTTTCGTATATACAGTATTATAGTTTGTCTAAATTTGTGTTGCGTATATGAGTAAAAACATGATTTTGTGGTGCATATTCTGGTTGGCTGGGAGCCAGCTGCCCCGAAGGTCTTGTGTTTCAATTAACATCGCCATATTTTTTTCACAAATGACTTTGGCTTCATGGTCAACCCAGGCACCATAACTTCTCAAGTTCCTGGTTAATGCGATGTAATTGAGCCCATGTAAGTCGTTGGAGATTCAACGACAAAAAGCTGTCAAGAATCTTCTCACGTTGTCTTCATCTGCCTCTTTTTCCACAGATCTTTCCAGCGGGCATATGTTCCAAATATTATCGTTGAGACTTATAAAGCCAACAATTCATAAGATTGAAGTATAGCATAGAGAGATGACAATTGTTATTTGTGTCATTTATATATATATATATCCTGTCAAAATGGACGTTAGGCAGCGGCACTGTTCGAAACAGAGGCAATTTTTTTTTTGCTTCTTCCGGTCGGTGGCCGATGCATTTTTGCTCCATTTGTAGACTGGATATAGTTTCGTCGCCCAGCTTCTGAGTTGAATGCATGGCGTGACCCTGTGAGCTGCGGATTGCATTTGGAATGTTTTTTCGACTGTGACCAACGTGTTGGTGTGAATTGTAGATTCAGAAAATGGCGCGATGCCTGTCATGCAGTGTTGTGGTGCCCGTATGTGATTAAAATTGATCGCGTGGGCAACTGCTGATCTGTTGGCGACTTCTGCTATCATCAATGATGAACTGCAATTCTAATACTGTGATAAAAATTATGTGTGTTTTTCGTTGGCACAGGAGCGGAGCAAAGATGGGGCGACCCGTTTGCTTTGAAGCTGAAACTAAGACTACCAGACCATATATATATTGATATACGGTAGCTCAGTCATTTGTGACCATATATATATATATATATATATATATATATATATATATATATATATATATATATATATATATATATGGTCACAAATGACTGAGCTACCGTATATCAATAGTCGGTACTACTTGTCATCTGTTAATGCCGAATGTTGGGCGGCGTATACCAAACCTGACATCCCATATTGTGCAAACGGTGAGGTATTGGGGAGGATACTAAGCCTTATCTTAGGAAGAGGAAATGCAACCTGAAAACTGTAAAATATGGCCTGTCAGACAACGCCCTCAGCCTTCGTTGACAGATGGTCTAGGAGGGATGCTCCGACATGCAGACAGATATAGCACTGCTTTTCTGATCCTGCAGCTTCTGCAGCTTGCTTCGTTTTAAAAGTACTGATGTTACCTTTCCTTTGGAGTAAACAATGCATGGTCGAGTGAGGGATCATGATGCGTGGGCAACATATGGTCTGTACAATACTGCCCAGGCTTTGTGATGTGGAGAGGAGGCACTTCATCACTGTTCTTAACTGGTCTTGGAAACAAATCGAGAGGCAGCAGTTACGGGTTCTAAACCTTGTCAGTTGGCGTAGACGTTGCCTCTAACAGTGGGAGACATTTCCGAATGTCACTGACCAGCTACCGCCCACCTCAAGCTGGGCAGCCTCCAGCCAGTAAGGTGTTGATCTGCCACAGGCTGAAACAATCTATTTAATTAGATAACATAGAAGAAAGGACTGGTTTGAAGCAAATAGCCAGACACTCTAGCCATTAATTGACAGCAACTGTGGCAGTCCAGGACATGTTTTGGGAAGCAAAGAAGATTATGTGTTTTTAAACAACATGAATGATCATTATTCACAATGAATACCGATTTGTCTTTTATAACATTTGACTGGAATCTCTACATACTAAAATAACTACAAGTGAAATCGCTATCTCCGCAAGGTCACTAGCAACACAACAAAAGACAGTGTTACGAATACCAGCATTAGATAGACAGCTGGAATGAGATTATGTCTGGATTATATTAACAGGCAAAGAATGGAGTGTTTTGGTCATCTAATGAGAGTGAAGCCAGGCCAAACGGCATTTGAGACTTTCTATAGTAGAATGTGAGACGAAGACCAAGAAAAATATGGATAAATAGTGTAGCCCAAACTTGCAAAAAGATGAACAAATCCATCACCCAAGAAGCGCAAGACAAATACAGAAAACGATGACACCGGGCTACAACCTGGTATCAGTGAGACGACAATAGAAGAAGAATCACGTCATGATCTCTTTATTGGCCCCTTACGTTTTTGATGCGAAACGTTCGCTTATTTTTTTATTTTTCTCTTTAATTGATCAATTGGTTTCGTCCCCTTTCATGCTGTTACCTGAAGGGTTATCATCCGAAAATAACGACACCAACAAAATATTAGCTTTGATGGCAGGCTAACAGGGTAGACCCCAGATACCCCGCTTACCCTGGAAAGCTATTTTGATTAGGGCACCATTAACGGCTGCAATATTCAGGTGTAGCCTGCAGTCTTATATGGGTACAGGCATTTTCTTTTCTTTAGCTTTTTTCTATAGCCCAGTAAGCCTCGATCCACAGCAAGCTCATACACTAAACCAGTTGTCCTATTAAATCAAGAACGGCAACTGGTAACCCAACAAAACACAATGATATGGAAAGATAATGACTGTATTCTGTGCATTCCCATAGTAATTTTAAAAAAAAATTCTCTACTTAATGATCTGATGTTCTATGTGCCTTCTCCTCCTGCTCCATCCCTGTTATACACCAATAAATAAGTAAAGATCTGATGTGCTATGTCCCTTCTCCTGCTCCATCCCTGTTATACACCAATAAATAAGTAAAGATCTGATGTGCTAGGTGCCTTCTTCTCCTGCACCATCCCTGTTCTGCACTAATGAATAAGTAAAGATCTGATGTGCTATGTGCCTTCTCCTCCTGCACCATCATTGTTGTGCACTAATAAATAATTAAAGATATGATGTTCTATGTGCCTTCTCCTCCTGCTCCATCCCTGTTGTGCACTAGTAAATAAGTAAAGATCTGATGTGCTATGTGCCTTCTCCTCCTGCACCATCTCTGTTGTGCACTAATAAATAAGTAATGATCTGATGTGCTATGTGCCTTCTCCTCCTGCACCATCTCTGTTGTGCACTAATAAATAAGTAATGATCTTATGTATTATGTGCCTTCTACTCCTGCTCCATCCCTGTTGTGCACTAATAATTAAGTAAAGATCTTGTGTGTTATGTGACTTCTCCTGCTTCATTCCTGTTATGCACTAAAAAATAAGTAAAGATCTGATGTGCTATGTGCCGTCTCTTCCACCTCCATCCCTAGTATGCACTAGGAAAAAAGCAACAAAAAATAAAATATTAAACTATGTCTTCCCATTTTTCTTAAACTTGTCCCGTCTAGAGTTGCACACTAGTGACTCAAAGGGACTCTATTCGGATGAGAATCCAACGAAAACAAATCCCAGAAAAGCCGTTTATCAGTACAACACGGATATATTAGGACATCAGACAGTTTTCAGTGTTACCTGTAATCCAGCTTGGTTAGATGGAATTGATAAGGTGGCGCCTTTGGGAATGTGATGCTAAACATTTTTTGGGGAATCACTTCATACTCGATGCATGATGACCAGGGCTTTTTTTTTAAGGAAACAAAATCACTGCTGCTCACCCCCCCCCCCCCCACCCCCCAAAGTGTCTGTTATAGTGGCCTGAAAAAAATGATACCAATAAAAATGTGCCAGTACTGCGTACCACCAGGAAGAGGTTCAAAAGAAAAAGCTCTGTAGTAGTAGTAGTAGTAGTAGTAGTAGTAGTAGTAGTAGTAGTAGTAGTAGTAGTAGTAGTAGTAGTAGTAGTAGTAGTAGTAGTAGTAGTAGTAGTAGTAGTAGTAGTAGTAGTAGTAGTAGTAGTAGTAGTAGTAGTAGTAGTAGTAGTAGTAGTAGTAGTACATTTTACCCCACTAGGACATCACACAAGCGATAAACACCTGATGACACAAAGTGCCACCATGTGGATGAGGATCGCCCGTGAAGAGGTCCCGGTAACCACGCTCAGCCATTGGGCCATATATATGGCCGGGCTATATTGCGACATCTGGCAATAGCCATGGTGGAGCTTCAAAATAACGAAAAATTGCATCCCACAAAGGGGTGACTAGTGTAAAAAAAAGCGCTGTCATGGCACTCTGCTACACATGAAAATTCATGATGACCTACATATTGAGTCAACCAGGAAGTCAAGGTCAATTATAAAAAGTTAATCCTTGTACAGTATCCAAACCAAAGATTTCATGCCTGCAGCTAGTCAGTCATACCACTGCCTTCCCACGGCTCCACTCTCACGTACTGAATTCAGTAATTACCGGAAGAATTATTCAAAACTGATAACTCTGCTATTTAATTCCTGGTAGGATTATATGTTGTTGTTGCCCCTATATTTGTACATATTTCTGATTTAGGTCGCTAGTAATCTTGAGACAGTTGCGTATCCTTTACAGGGCATTATGGGGGAGGGGGAGTTGTGGTTTTTCTGGGCAAAATTTTCGCTCAGTAGTTTGCATTGCGGTCAGCTCTCGTTATCACAGTCGAAACCAACGCAAGATGGCTTGTCCGCCCCTGGGATCGAACTCGGCACCCCGGAACTATGAAGCACGTTAGCAACGCCTGCCACAGACGCTAAGGCAATTGCGTTTTCTACTTTCTAGCCTGCAAG